ATGCTTCCCGGTTTTATGATTGGAATAAAGAGTTTACATCCTTCTTCATAAAGGCTTAACCATTTTTCGTAACATTTGTTTATTTCTAAACATTGAATTCATTGTCCCAGTTTAAGATTTTAAAATAATTATTTAATTTATCAAATTTCCCTCGATTAAAATTAAATTTTTCTTTTATAAGTACAATGTTGTCAATACACTCTTCATGACTGTAGTTAAATTTAATAATGTGATGATCGAGATTAATACCTCCCAATGGTGGAAGGTGTACCAGTTTATAAACTCTATTTTTATTCTCAGCTATAATCAAATCCAGTACATTCGTTTCATTCCCAATGCTATTTTAAAATGTTGGTTTAATCACATAGTAGTATAGTAGAACACGAAGAAAAAATCTATAAATGTGAAGAAAAGTTTTTTAGAAGGTAAAAAAAGTTGCTACAATCTGAAAATAGACTTTTATAAGTGATGTATGAAGCAATTGTTTAAACATTCTAAGAAAATTTTGGCTGGTGTATCAGTCTCACTAGTTAGTGTGCCATAGTAATCTTCTGTCCACTTGATTGCGTTGAAATTAAAATCCCCACAAATAAGGATTCCAGTATATTTAATTTTATTTAATTTTGCTCATTCAATGAATTTATTAAATTTATTGAATGAGCAAAATTAATAGACTTTGTAATGTTGATACAGTTACTTATGTTACTTATAATTCCGGTTCTGTACATACTGCCACATAATACTTTTTCACTTCCTAATTCAATAACACACCAAATCTGTTCTATATTAGGGTCATTTAAACATTTTTCTGAAACTTCATACGCTTTTATATTGTTTTGTACATATATACAAACTCCTCCACCTCTACCAACGCCTCTGTCTCTTCTAAATAAGGTGTATCCAGCTTACATTTGGTTTGTATCTCAACTTTCAGGTTCACTTTTCTTTATTCCTTCAATTTAAGTTATTTTTTTGTTCAGTCTATTTTCAGATTGTAGCAACTTTTTTTACCTTCTAAAAAACTTTTCTTCACATTTATAGATTTTTTCTTCGTGTTCTACTATACTCTATTATACATGGTCTATTCATTCGGACAATTTCTAAATTATTTACAAAAGCAGAACTTTAGTTTTTGTTTCTGCTGCTTTGCTGGGTACTTTTACAGAAAACTTTTATGCATTCTGAATATTGTTTTCGACCTTTATTGTTGAATATGTCTATTTATAGAGAAAACGTTTGCTATTCGGACAAAATCCATTAATGCTTGTTGTTCCTTGCCGATTTTATGGAAAGCAATACCTTTTTTACGGAAGTTTGATTTTTTCGGTCAACATCTTCTTTTGAGCAAAATCCTCTTTTTCTCTTAAAACTTTTTATTTTATTTTACATTATAGCGGATATTTGTACTATAATAAAAATACTAAGTTGACTTGCAAAAACCACATTAAATTATCATTAGATGCCACACTGTAACTAATTTTGGGCGGGTTGACTAGGATAATGACCCAAAAAGTCAACCATACAAGGCAAAAAAACATACATTTCAGTTGCCTAAATTAGTAAAATTGAAATCTAAATATTACGGTCAAAAGAAAAAACACAAGTTTTAAGTTTTATTATTTATTGCACATAAGATTGATTCGACACCTTTTCTAAAAACATTTTTACAGTACTCAAAATAATATATTATTTATTTAGGACATATATAACTCATAAAAAAACATTATTTCCCATTAGATTTAAATAAATATGTTCTAAAAAAGAAATAATCAAAACTTTCTACAAATGTTTACCACCAAAGTCAACATGCAGTTAGGCTCATAGACCACGTTTCCAAACAAATTGGCTTGTTTAACATTGCTTCCAAAAGCTTCGAAAGAAATAAAATATTCCAAAAGAAAGCCATTTGTTCAAGGGGATCCACAGGTTGAATTAATAATGAACCTTGTTCAATATTGAATGCTTGTATGAGGCTGCAGTCTACATAAAATGTTTGACCTCATTTTACAAGAATGAATAAAGTTCCTAGCATCAGCTTGAATTAAAACCCAAATTTTTTTGTGTTGTTTTAGTTTTTTGGAGGTAATACAGCAACCAGGATTTTTTTTAACTTGAATCAGATTGGTTAAAATTCTTGGTTTACTGAAAAGCTATTATTCAAAAGCACAAACAAATTTTTTTTTATTTTCAGCTAAACATTAAAAACTAAAATCATTGTGTTTTAAAATAAATTAAACGTAACTGGTGTAACTCTTAGAGGTTGTCCACCTTTTTATTGTGAAACTTTGATGGTTACTTCTGGTATTGCTTCTTTTTTTGCAATCATCTGATTTAATATAAATATTTATCAAATCTGTTATTTACTTAGTTGTGACAATATTCTGTGTGGTAAACAGCTTAAAACTATTTTACTTAAGGTTGATTGTTTTCAACCATGTAGCAAGCCCTTGTTCAAATTGTTAGACAGTCAAAAACCCTCTTTTGTGTCCTCAAATGGGCTACTTTAGTTAGTTTTAGGCGTTTTGTTTTACAAATCAAGCTGCTGCAGCTTTGATTCCGTGTCTAAGGTCAAATTTTGATGATAGAAAAATTAACAAAAGAAGGAAATGTTACATCTTTTCCTTCATTCATTTTGTGAATAGCTGTCAACAAGCCTTGCAAATTTGTTGAGTAACTCTTTGCATCACAAACATCAATATTTATGTGATAAATTTAAACAATTATTTTTGCTTGAGTTGCTGTAAGATACCGTGTGCATTTTTTAACACGCAGCGTGCTAAAAAGTTTCCTTTTAACATCATCATGAGACCTAATTTGATTTGGAATTTCAAAAACTTTTGATTACTACTTTGGATTAGTCTTAATGACTCTTTGTGGCTATCTGTTTCTATGCCAACAATATCTTTGGATATAAAAACATTGTATAAAAAAATATAGCATGAAAATTCAAATAAATAAAAAATAAAAATAAATAAATATGTGTAAAATAGATTTAAAAAAGAGATTCGTAAGAATAAAATTTAAAGAAAAGTTTTTATCTATTTTTTATAGTCTTTACCTATTGTTTATGATTAAAATCCTCGTCAAAATCATTTTATGGAGCTGTTTATTTTGTATTTATGGCGTTTCCCTAAAAAGTTAAATCCTACAATAAAATCACTTACGCAAAAAAAAAAAAAAAGATACGTAGTTCTTCCCGAAAAACAAAACTATTTTTTTTCTCGGATCTAATTTTACATTTTTATTTTGTCATGTTTGGAATGTATGTGTTTTCACTTTGTATAGATGACTTTCTAAAAGTCGGTCTAAAATAAGTAACAGTGACCACACAAGTAATCATATTATAAAATAAAATATAATAGCGTTGTACACTTCAAGAGTGATGAGTCAAAGCCACGTAGAATTTGAAACTGTAACAGCTGTAACAAAAAAAAAACAAACAAACATAGTAAAAGTATTTAAAATGTTCATTAAATTTGTTTTTGGATTGATTGGCACTGACAGCGTATATTGTTTCTTGTTTAAAATTGTTTCAGTCGTTAACTACTATCGTCGTTTTATATTTCCTATATATTTTCTTTTTCAGTTTACTATTGCGGCCTTTAGTAATAATAGACACTAAACAATTACTTACCATACCCAGTTGCGTCGCGACAAACACGCTTGTCTGTAGACAAAACTCCTCTTTTACCAATTTTTTGCAATTTTTTGCAGCCCTACCATAAACTCGGTGACCCTAAATCCTGTTATAGACTGTGGCACTCTGGGCTTTTTCTACCCTGTCTACCCTATGACCTCTGACTGTAACGGCTCTGACCATATTATAATAAACCATACAACACTAAAGACTTCCACACACTGTTAACATCAAAACCTTTGGCGAGCCATGCTGGCAGTAGACCAAGCGTAAAAAAACTAATGTGTGACTAACCTAATCTGACAAAAACTTAAACCAAGGCCACGGAAAGGGGTTGTTGTTAAGGTAAAACAAGCTATTTATATTGGTTTAAAACAAAAGAAATCCTAAAAATTAAGTTTTGATAAAAATTTTCATTTTTTTAGTAGCCACTTGAAGATTTTTGACAACTTTTACGTGTTTTTTATTTTTCAATTACATACAGTTAGTTTATTGTAAGATATGTATACATATTTTTCAAATTGCCGAACAGTTTTCATCTTTTCTCTTTAACGTTCTTGTATTTTGGTTGCTGCAGATCAAAGTTTTTATTTTACTTTTAATTTGGTTGCTTCAGAGCAAATTTTTAAAAATACTTTTACATTCTAAATTAAATGGTTATTTAAAATTTATCTTATTTTTCAGACTAAATGTTTTAACACGATTGTTCATGACCTTTGTCTCATCTTTCCACTGCTGTATTGAGCTTGTTCAGTTCTTACATTTCAAATCCCTTAACACTCTTCAAACAATTTGCTCATTTTACCATAATTCGCCAGATTTCGCTTTCGCTTTCTTTAGGTCTATTAACCCTAAGATTATATTTTCAGGACCACTTTTTTTTTTTTTTTTTAAAGTTTTTTTTTTTTTCTATTCTAAATTCTATTCTTCTTAGCACGCTCATTATTAATTTCAATTTTTAATTACATTATTTCTAAAATTACTTAACAAATCCCGTATCACCAATAATAAAATTTGATATAAGTTGATCAAATAAAAATACTATTACTCGTTTATATTAAAAATAAAGATGAAAATTTGCATTTTACTTGTTTACTTCACTTTCAAATTTTCTTTTTATTGTTTTAAAGTACTCATTTAACATACTCAATCTTTATTGTTTTAAAGTATACATTTTTATTTGTTTAATCAGCTATCTATATTTTTTTAATGTTTTGAATGTTGTCCAAAAACTGTTAATAATAATTGTGTGTGAGGGGGTGGTGAATAAGAAGAGCTTGAACAACGTGCACAGTTTATCGTCTCGCCAATACGTATGGTACAAATTTGCGTTTAATGGGCGTTTCGGTTCATACTGGTAAGATTACGCAATTAGTAACATGCGAGTTTGTTGATTGAAAAAATAGTTTAAGAAAGGGATCTAAACGCAAAGCTAACAGGAGACTAGTCCGCAAGATTTCGATGGTTGAAATATTTTATGACATAAATTAGTCTATTTTTATTGCTGTGATGTCAACAAATGAGGAAATAATTGAAATTTTATTAAGTGAACTAGTTAAAGTTATATTTACAGCCGTTTTTCTAATAAGTCTTGCTAAAAAGTACAAGAAAACTGTTGTAACCTCTATTATTAAACATTGTTGGAATCATTTAACGTTTTATATTAGTGGCGTTAATAACGATTTATTTTTCTATCCTAAATCATTTTTTAACAAGTTTTCAGCAAATAATAAACCTGTTTCAAAATATTGTATGTTTTATTGTAAGTCATTAAAACGGACTTCTTGAATTTAAAAAAATTGAATTAATTTGCATGGCGTAAAGTTACATATGGATACATTATTTACGACATTTCTTTCTTCAACCGATTTTACAGTTGATATATCACCTATTTTCGTTAAGAAATCAAAGTTAAATAATTTAAAATCACATAAAGAGATGTGTTTATGTAATAGCAATTGTGAAGCTTGTATTAAACCCACTAAATTGCATTTAACAATGGAAATATCTGACAAACAAGGTAGGTTTAACATTTTTGATGCTTTTATGCTGTGCTATAATTTTATTTATAGTTCCAGGCAATGTACATTTTAAAAAAAAAATCATGTATAATCTAGGGATGTGAGAAAATTTTTAATTTTCAAAATAATACAATTTTAAATAAAGTTATACTTCTAACCTTGAATTTTCTAAATATATCAAAATCATTTCTGTAGGTCAAGTATTTCAAAGGTATGCAATTTTTAAGGTGTGATTTTTGATATATGAAAACGCTATGAAAAGTTGGAGTCAAATTTTTTTTTTTACGACAAAAAAATGTTTATCTCGCTAAATATTTTTCATATTATTAACAAATTATATATCAAAATAAAGCTTAGCGTATGTTAAACAAAAATAGAGTTATAAATGTAAAACAAAATATAGAGTTAAAAATCTTAAAATAAATATAGTTTTATAAGTAAAATAAATGATGATATATTTTACCCATATTTTCTTTATAAAAACTTATAAACTTATAAAAAAAAATTATATGAAAAGAATAACAAGCAATGAACTGAAATTAAAATCTATAGGTTCAGTAAAGCCAACGAATTAGTTTAATAAGTAAATTGTTTGTTTTAAATTTTAAACTGTGACAAAGTTTTTAAGCGAAATATAAAATAAGTGTTGTACACCAATCTGATTAATAAAGCTACCTCGTGTCCCACGAAACTTTACTATGCGAACTCAGGGTTACAAAGCTTCAAAAATTTGTATATTCATAACAATACCTTGTGTGCTTGGAGTAACCTTTATTCAGAATGGGCACATCAGATTTACTTCAAATTTTCTGTATGAGTATTTTAATAAATAATATAAAGGAACCTTTAGTTTTATGAAGGACCCATGTCAACTTTAGGAGCAGTGGTTCATAGAAAAATATCAAGAATTTACAACATAAAACTACACTATTATTTGTTTCTAAAAAAAAAACAAATAACAATGCAGCCTGTTTTGGCATAATTCTAATTTTAACCAAATCAAAAAAAATGCGGTCCAATTTTTAGAACAGTTTTTTTACGGCAAAATACGCATATTCTCATATCCCAATATAATCTGCAAGTTTTATCATGTATATAATTTTCCACAATTAAAACCAAATATAAATGTATTACATACTATTGTATCAAATGATATGTACAATTTACAGCACTTGCTGACTGAAAGTTGTATAAAAGAAAAAGAATGAAATTAAAAAAAAAAAGTTATAATTTGGTGTTGGCAAAGTTATACCAAAGATGTAAAGACTTAATATGTTTTTCTATTACATTAAAAATAATTTTAATACATAAATGTCAACTTTTAAAATCTTAAGAAGCTGATAATAACTGGGCTTTTGTTAACAATAAAGTCTTATGTAAATTTCAATCTTGGGAATGACTCAATAGTCTTGGAAAGTTTTGGAATATATTTGGAATATATACACTTATTTGGAATATATACACTTATTTGGAATATATACACTTATTATATACAATATATTTGGAATATATTCACTTATTTGTTTAGTAGTTGATGTACATATCTATTAAAATCCTATATATTAAAAAAATTAAAATTTATAATATTATACAAATATTATTTTCTTACAATAAAAGTTATTCAATTGGGATATTATTATAGATAACAACAACAAAAACAAAATCAATCTTGTAAGGTATTAAATTCTAAGATATCTGTGAATTGTATCATCAAGTGTTATCAGAATCTTTTAATAACTGAAAAATTGAGACCATTCTTTTTATGTTTTGATGCCAATCAAGAAAGTTGTAAGTATTTTGAATAAAAAAATAAAATTATAAAAAATTATAAAAAGAAAGTTATAACCGTAGTTTGTAATTATTAACTTAT